TATTTTTTGTAATTTTTTTTCAGCATGAAGAATGAAAAAGTTTATGTCAAAAAAGATCGATTTACTAATGAAATTCAGTTAAATAGTTATTTCAATGGAACTGAGGATGTTGTTAGCAACAGTGATGATGAATCAACACAATAACCAGATGACGAATCAACACATATAATAGATGATGAATCAACACAATCATCAAATTATTGGCAAGATTTAGTGTTTGACATAGGTAATATTAACATACTAAAATTTAATTGTTTAAATTTTGATTTAAATTAAAAGTCAATTCAAAGTAGCGCTTAGAGATACAGAGTCAAATTCAAATTCTATTTTTGTAGATTTTTTTGATTTTTTAAATATCCAGATTCAAAAGTTAAAAAAAGGAATGCACAAGGGTGATACAAATCCATTTCAATATTTATAAAAACATGCACTCATAAATTTTTATTTTTTATTTTTTATTTTTTTGGAAGAAGAAATGATAACTAACATGTTATATATGTATTGCAGGAACGCATACAAAGTTTGTTAGATGAAAATGAAAAAAGAGGAATTGAAATGCCAAATAAAGAGATATATGATTATGTTTTGCATTAGAGCTCTAACCATGGAGTTGGTAATGGTAGGAAACGCCCACTTTTATCTGAGCTTGTGAATCAACAAAGGAGGATCAAAGAATTAAAACAAAAATTGCAATCTCTCAAGAAAGAAAAAAGTGAAATTTTGGCAAAAAGAAAAAAATATGGAGAAGAATTACTAAATAATATTCGATTATAGTATGAGGAAGAGAATGACAATAGTTGGGTTGATAATTTTACAAATTTGGAATAAATATAAAATGTAAACACTTTTTTCTGGAGGATTTATTTTGTTTAGACTTATGTATTGTCCAATATTATTTTTAATTTAATAAAGTGTTTTAGTTGTATAATCTTATTTTTTTATTAATGTAAATTCAATTAATTATGCTTTAGAAGTTATTTAATTAATATTAAAATTTAAAAATAATTTAATTATATATATTGATTGATGCTAAAATATTATATTCAATGACCTTTCACAACTAAGATATTATATGATAAAATATTTGTTGAGAAATTTACTCTTTTACAACAATTGTTGATTTTAAATTTATTTTTTAAAGTGATTATATTTGCTTCAAAATAGAATTTAAGATAGCAAAAACTTTAACTACGATATATTTTTTTAAAAAACTAATTTTGTAGTTAGAAAATATATTTTTAAAACAATCATTAATATTTCTATATATTTATAGTATAACTATTGATATTGTTACTAAATGATATTTTACAAAACAGTAGATGACGTTGTTTAAATTATTATATGATAACCACATATTTTTGTTGCTAAATCTTATTTTCTAAGCTAATTTATGAAGTTAAGAAAAACCATTTTTACCTACATTTTAAATGGTTGCTATAACCATATTTTTATAACAATTATAATAATTGCATAATAAATTTTTTATCAATAGTTTAACATGGTAGAGAAAATATATTTTTTGCAACAATCATTAGTATTTCTATATATTTATAGTGTAACTATTAATATTGTTACTAAATCGTATTTTACAAAACAGTGGATGCCGTTGTTTAAATTATTATATAGTAACCACATATAATTGTTGCTAAATATCATTTTCTGAGCTAATTTACAAAATTAGGAAAAACCTTTTTTACCTACATTTTAAATGGTTGCTGTACAAATTTTCGGTAATAATTGTAATAGTTGTGAAAATACACCTTTAATAATGACTAATTTAGTTGCATAATTTCTTTTTTTGTAACAACATTTTTTGGGTATTGAACTTATTTTGTATAATAACTTATTTTTATTATAAAATTATACTTTAGGTAATGACTTGTAGTGTTGTTATAAAATAATTTTAGTAATGATAAATATAGTTATTAAAAGCTAATATGACAACCATTATTATGTCGTTGCTATTGTTTTTTACCTACGAGTGTATATCATAGGTATTTTATTTTACTTATTATTTTTTAAATGTAAGTATAGGATCATTAATCTTTTATCTATGACTTATAATATTGTAGGAATATGTATATTTAGGTAGTTAATTATCTATAATTACAAGACATATAATTACACTTTTTTCTCCATAGATATAGGTTTCGAATGGGATATACTTACAGATTTTTACCATATACATATAATTTTTATAGTTTGATATATATATATAGATATAATTAATCATTAATTACCAATTTACCATAAGATTTACTAGTGGTTAATTACCTCATGCTTCCATGTGCTAATTTGGGTCGGTGGCGCAGGCATGCTTAACAAGTTCAAGCACAGCTTCACGGAACGTCGATGGCGAAAAAATGTCTACATACGTCCGGATGTTGATTTCTTTGTCTCATTAGTACGTGGTGAAATTATGGATGAGAAATATGAGAATGGCGTGGGTGATTTCAGAGCTGTTAGTTTTTGTTCATAATTAATCATACGTGTTTTTGGAGGCAAAAGAATGAAATAGACAGCGGTGGGTAGCTGTACAATTCTTGAGAAATTCCCGACCCATAATTTTTTTTTTGAACAATGTTATGGGACGAACTTGAACTTGTTCAAAAAAATAAAAAAAAAGGTGCATCACAATGTGATCGAAAGTCATTTAATTGAAGGATCAGGTGGTTTCCAGTCACACAATTCCTACCACACATATATAAAAATCTGATAAAGATAAAACTCGTGGTATGATAAAGACATACTCCTTATTTCCTTCAAGTAACTGAACAATGAAATGATTCGCTCAGATTTAGTGACATAAATATTAGGTTAAATTTATTCACCTTTTATGGGTGATATATTCAAACTTTATGAAATTTTTTTTTCTTAATTAATACATATAAATAATTATAATTTGTTAAAAAAAAAAACTGTACAATGATTAGCCACTTTTAAGGGCACGGAAGAGGTTCGGGCTACCTTAATTTGTCATGGACGATGATACACAAGAATTTTGGCATTTTTAGACAATAGCTTATAGCCGTTCATATGGACCATACCACAACAAACCACAATAATACCTGACTTCTATTGTGTCACATCATCACACAGTAATTTAAAGGTGAATCATGCAAATCACTCCCTGAACGCATTGATCGGTGTTAAATAAGCCTCTCAAATGCATTCAGAGACAAGCTAACCCTCTAACTTACATCAGGTGGCAAATTAGCCCTTCTGACACCCATGACGTTAAATCTAACTTTTTGCTCTTAGTTGAATTGACATTTCAATCCTTGAACTTAATATTCTTTGCGTCTTTTAGTCCTTGAGTTTATATTTGCTATGAAAATAGCTTTTATTGGTATATTGCTAAATTTTTTTAGTTCTTTTAAAGCTAAAGCTTTACTAACTTTATATACATATTTTTCCCATAGTAACTCATCAGTTCTATAGGAAATCATCCCTTCTTCTATTATAATCTTAGTTAATAATTTGATTTGATGACCATAAAATCTTATTAGTGTTCTTAATTTCATTCTTAACAGCATTGATTCTTATGGCTCTGATACCAAAATTTTTATTGTGGTTTTCATAACTTAACTCAGACTACAAGTTAATGTGTAGCTGGTATGTTAAGTTCAATAAGTATAAAATCAGATCTATTAAACTGCTAGAAGATATAGTCTTTGCTTAGCTTTTTTGAGTCTTTTTAAATTTTCGTTTAAATCTGTTGCTATTTGCTTTAATTTTTTAAGATTCTTGAAGAGATAGTAATCATCTATATCTTCAATATTGTTTATTTTTTTTTCTAAAATATTCACTATTTTATTTCTATAATATTCGCATTGTTGCTCATAAACTACTTTATCTACAATTATTTCTTGAATGAAGTCAAGCATTTTAGAGTATTACAAACTAGTTTTTAGGATGAGTTTTTCTATTTGAAATATAAGAGGTTAGCTACTATTTCCCTGTTATTTCTAATCTCAAGAATAATAATGTCAAAAGATAATAGAAATGTTTCTATGCCCACCTAGCTTTCGCATGATAAAAGAATGAGTTTAGAATTCTACCTGGAGATTTCTTAGTCTAGCCTTTGGTCTAGCTGATGCTTCCTTCGCAAGGGACCTTACTGTTGACGTGCCAAAATGGATGGAGTCGTCATCTATCCAAATGAGGTCGGATAGATTACCAAGGTCTACGTAGAAATTGACTAGGTTCGGAGGGTCAGTTAAGCATGGGGAAGGTGTTAGGCACCCCACAACTTCCATATAAATATGGTTACCACGTACTTTAATTTTGGAGAATTTCAATTTTTGTGAAAATAATAATAATTACCAAGAACATAAAACAAAAAAAAAACAAGAAATAAAATAATAAAAAAAACTTCAAAAACCCCATCGTTGTCCTATTCCCGTTTCTGTTTTTTTATTTTATTTCTTTTTGTTTCAATCTTTTTTTTTTTATCAATAATAGCCACTAAAAAAAAAAAATCACCTCCGAAAAATTAAACAAGTGCAGCCGTCATCATCTTCTTTTCTCCTTACTTCTGTTTCTGGGCTCTTATATTTTCTTTTTCTGCACTTTTCCTTCTTTTTTCTTTTTTTTTTTTTTTTTTTTTGTTTTTTCTTAATGCCTAAAGACATTTCATACCCCTAAGAAAGTTTCTTTTTTATTTTTTTTTCTCTATCTAATGCATCTTTGAACAATCACAGAAAAATGTCATAAAAAAAAACACAAAAGCTGATACTTTTCCAAAGACTAAAAAAAATGCAAGCAATTACTTTGGAATCACATCACAGGAAGCAAACTAATATGAGAGGGGAAACAAATGAAATCAAATTCACGGCTAGGCCACAACCATAAACACCTACCGCAGGCGAACCATGAATGAAAACGTTTACTGATAACAAAGAAAGGAAGAAAAAAACAGAACATGACAGAAACACAAAGAGAAATCTGTAGATAAATAAGAAAAACATTAACAATGCACACCTGAAGAAAATAGGAAAACTCAAACTTTATTTTCTTGAAGTTCTGGTTACAAGCCTCTGATTTACCCTTCTTTCAATCTTCGAATCCCTCTTTTTTCCCCAATTTTTTCCTCCTTCGATCTCCCTCTCCCCTAGAAGCCGAAAGCCCCCCCCCCTTTTTATAGACAAAAGGAAAACCCAATCCTAATATGCCTCTAACATCTAATCCAAATCCCTAAGATAACCACCCAATCCTATTTGGAATGAGATTTCTTAATTCTTCTCACCTTTACCCCATTTTAAGTCTAAATTCATACCTTCTATGCATTAGGACTCCCACCTTGAACCAATTTCGGACTCTTTGGAGTTGATGACTTACGGTTTGTACATCCTTATCCAAATCCTTCGATTGGCCGAGCTTATCTTCAAAAAATATCCCTTTGGCATCGTGTTGGAGCTTATGAGAAGGGAGGTGTGGCAAAAAAAACAGGGAGGCTAGGGTTCAACTGAAAAACCCAGCTTTTTTTTAATCCATTGGCAAAACGATGTCGTTTTGCCATTTCTTCTTTTTAACCCTTCAAGTTTTCAGCCTTTACAAAAATAGTCCATTGCCTTCTGATTTTAGCATTTAGCCCATCAGTAAAAATTGGGTTATGACACTTACTGCTACCTAAGTATCTTTAGGGATTCTTTTCATTATTTTCTATGATGGAAATTAGGAAGGGTAGAAGCATGAGAATTATCTTAAAACAAGTTTTTATTCTTAAGAAGAGAAAGGGAAGGTTTCCTTTCCTCTTGAAGGCTGTTTACAGATGCATGGTAGAAGGAACTCAGGTAAGGTATTTGGATATTCAAATGTCCATACCTGTTATAGCTTATAGGAGGCCTTTTATAATGCTCCTTAGAATCTTTTCTTTCATCATTACTGATGTCTAAGGTTTACATTATTATCTGGTAAACCAGACTTACTCCTTGCTTTTACTAAAGCTGATTAGATGGAATCTTACTGACTCTCTTTTTTCTCTTTAGTAAAAGCTTTTGTCTTTTTGCATTGGATTCTTTAGAGGATGATGAGATCCTTTTCACTATCTTAGGGGGTGGTTCCCTCGTCACGTGCTGCTTTAGCCTTTTCTTTTGTAGATTCTTTTTTGTAGTAGAAACCACGATGATTGTTGCGCTTCAATAGGTTGCATAGTCTATCATGGACTGCTTTACTGCTTGGAACTAGATTTTCAAAGATTTCCTTTCTTTTCTGCTTTATTTTGAACAGGTTGATGCTTGTCATTAATCGTGCACCAGTGGATACTATCGAGATTTCTTTGGAGAAGCCATATGTCCATGTCTTCCTCACCTCTATCATTCTATCAAAGGTTTGGAGTAAAACCTTGAATCCTAGAGCTCGTCTTTCTTGGATGAACTGGATCTCACAAAGAGATTCTTCAAAGTCTTGGGAAATTTGATTTTCATCTACTTCAACCTTGATTTTCTTGGATTGAATTCCAATTTGAATTATACGATGACTGGGGAAATATTGGGATTTTTCCCATTCTAGTGCTGTGGAGTGGATTTTGGCAAATACTACTCCTTGAGCTTTGGTGCCAGTCTTGAAGTCTTTCACTCCTTGGCGCATAACTTTTGGGAGTCCTAAAACTTCTTCATTATTCTTTGAGAGATAAATACAGTTTACAAAACCGTAATTGAATAATTCTTTTATTGCTTTTGGGTTTGCACCCTGCATGAAATTAATTATGGGATAAATCCCTTCATGGATAGGATGACAATTCTCAGTGGGCCTCATTGAATATACCATTCTACAGATTCTGCGATAATCCTGCAAATACTCTTCACTCATTGTCATTTTTGACAAGGTGTTTATTATTGTAACTTTCTTTTCTTTCTTTCTTGAGTAATCAGGTCGAAAGTCATGGTTTTCGACATTTTGAATAGTGGATTTTTTAGCTTGAGACGTTGAAATTTTTTGGGGAAAGTATTTGACATAATAGTCAAATTTCCTTGAACTTTCTCCAAGCAATCCTACTGAAGGATCTCCTTGTTCAATATTTTCTTTTAGCTCTTGTTGGAAGCTTTTCTTTACCATCTAGCTAAATTCTTTTGAGTTGATTCCGACAATAGTAATTACTCCGAATTCATTAATTTTTCTAGCAGCTCTTTGACTTCTTCAAGGGCATCTTGTCCCTTATTTAATAACTCATGGTCTTTAATAATTTTTTTTTGGCCTTCATCCATAAGGTTCTGGCCTTCATCAATTATCTCTTGGCCTTTGATCATTTTTTCTTGGCCTTCTCTTATCTGGTTATTGCCTTTAATAAGTATCTCTTGACCTTTCAGAATAAAGTCTTTTCCTTTATTTTGGAGTCTCAGGATCTCATCCATTAGCTCCTTCTTTGCTTAAGAAATATGCAAGACAATTATTAGTTCCTTTGACATGTTCAATTTCAAAATCATACTCAGCAAATAATGTTTGTCATCTATTTAATCTTTTATATTCTGGTGTTAAAACTAATTTATTAAAAATAAATCTCTTAACTTAAGTATTGTCAGTTCTAATTCTAAAATATTTTGGTAATAAGAAGAAACTGAACTTTTTTATTCCATTTTTAATGGCCAATAATTCTTTATGATTTGAATGATATTTTGTTTCTACATCTTTAAATATACCGCTAGCAAATCTACAAAGTTTTTCTTGAGAATTTTTCAAAAAAGCTGCTCCCCAGTAAAAATCTGAGGCATCACATTCTAAAATTAATTCTTCATCATCTCTAGGTAATTGTAACCTAGGAAGGTTCTTGCAATATTCTTTAATTCTTTTCACATGATTGGTGTAATAAATTTCCCATTGTTGACTTTCTTTTTTCCTAAGCAACTTTTGCAAATGATGTCCTAATTGAGCTAAGTTTTGAATGAACTGCTCTGCATAATTGAGTGTTCCTAAAATTCTTTGAATATGTTCTCTAGATTCTAATTTATCTGGGAACAATGAAATCTTTTTACTAATGTGAGGTTGCAATTCCATTCTTGTGGAATCTGTTGTTAATCCAAGGAATTCAATTTTGGTTTTCCCTGTTTTTGCTTTCTTTTCAGAAGGTAATATCCCATGTTTCTTGCATAAATATGCAAATTTCTTGAAATGATATAGATGTTCTTTCTCGTTATCAGAGAAGATTAGTATATCATCTACATATACTATGCAAAATTTCTTGATGGATGAAAATACATTATCCATTCTTCTTTGAAATATTTGAGGGGCATTTTTCAATCCAAAAGGCATTACTAGCCATTCATAGTGTCCTATAGGGGCACTAAAGGCTATTAATGGAATACTTTTACGAGTTAGCTTAATTTGCCAAAATCTTGATTTATAATCAAACTTTGAATATATCTTGTTTCCTCTAATGCTATTTATTAGAGTTTTTTTATGTGGTAAAAAGCAACCATCAAATTTAGTCTTGCTATTAAGTTGCTTGTAGTTGACGACCATCCCAGCTTTTCCTCTTTTTAATTATGATTTCTTACCATAAAGGTAAGGCTATTATGAGGACTCCTCGAGACTTGCAGAATCTTTTGAGCTATTAATTCTCAAATTTGCTTATCAAATTCTTCCTTATCTTCAGGACTATACCTTATTGGCTTAACTCTAATGATAGTTTTTGAATCTATTAATTCAATGGTGGCATAAGTTTTATCAACTTCCCATAGTTTTGTAGAGTCTTCTCCATAGTTGCTTTTTAATTCTTTTGAAATTGATTCTAGAGCTTTTTTTTTAACAGCAAATAATGATATTTATTGATAAACAGAGTACAAGGGGTACCGCATACCCTTAAACATCAATAGTTGAGAGACATAAATGTACAAGAGTGGACTAACCCTGCCCAATAGTGTCGACACCCACATAAAGTGTCGGCACTATACCCGTGTCGAATTTATGTCCTCTTTTACAGTTTCTACATAACTCCCTGTTCTGATCATCAAAAAACTTCCACTTTTCAAATCCACTGACCCGCAAAATCGTTAAGCATATATTTACTACAGCTTAACTAACACGCTACAGTAAAATACATGCTCAATGAAGCCTTCATGCACCAAACAAATTTCAACTTGCACTCCGTTCTGCAGTTTAGCCTTCTTTTTGTTGTTTATGAAACAATTTCATTGCTTGTTTGTGGCTTCTCATTGACAGAGCACACGCTACAGGGTTAACCTTCCACTCATTAAATGAAAAGGCACAACCATTTACCTTATTCTTGATCCATAAAAATGATTTGGCTTGAATCATATCTAGTTATCTTCCCCTGATGATAGCTTCATTATCAAATACGTTACCATTTCTCCAATACCA